TAGCTCGGTGTTTGAATTGCCAACAGGTAAAGTGCGAGCATCAGAGACCTGGTGGTTTGCTTCAGAAGATTGAGATTCTTGAGTGGAAGTGGGAGCATATCACTATGGACTTCGTTGTTGGACTCCCACGGACTTAAAGGAAGTTCGATGTGGTATGGGTTATTGTTGATAGGCTGACCAAGTCAGCACATTTCATTCATGTGACAGTCTCCTATTTTTCAGAGAGGTTAGCTAAGATCTATATCCGGGAGATTGTTCGTCTTCATGGTGTGCCCGTGTCTATCATTTCCGACCAAGGTACGCAATTTACCTTACATTTCTAGAGAGCAGTTCAGCGTGAGTTGGGTACAGAGGTCGAGTTGAGCACAACATTTCATCCTCAGACAGACGGGCAGTCCGAGCATACTATTCAAATTTTGGAGGATATGATTCGAGCATGTGTTATTGACTTTGGAGGTTCTTGGGATCAGTTCTTGCCATTAGCGGAGTTTGCCTACAACAACAGTTATCAGTCGAGCATTCAGATGGCTCCCTATGAGGCACTATATGGTAGACGGTGTCGATCGCCTGTTGGGTGGTTCGAGCCGGGAGAGGCTCAGTTGTTGGGTATGGATTTGGTCTAGGATGCCTTGGACAAGGTTAAGATCATTCAGGATAGGCTTCGTGCGGCTCAGTCCAGGCAAAAGAGTTATGCCGATCATAAGGTTCGTGATGTGGCATTCATGATCGGAGAGCGAGTGTTGCTTTGGGTATCGCCCATAAAGGGCATGATGATATTTGGGAAGAAGGGCAAGCTAAGCCCTAGGTTTATCGGTTCTTTTGAGATTCTTGATCGAGGGGGAGATGTGGATTATAGACTTGCGTTGCCACTGGGTTTATCAGCTGTGCATCCAGTGTTTTATGTGTCCATGCTTTAGAAGTATCACGACGATCCATTCCACGTGTTAGGCTTCAGCACTGTCCAGTTGGACAAGGACTTGACCTATGAGGATGAGCCGGTGGCTAATCTAGACCGGCATGTTCATTAGTTGAGATCAAAGAGTTTCCCTTCAGTTCATGTGCAGTGGAGAGGTCAGCCTATTGAGGCAGCGACCTGGGAGTCCGAGTCCGAGATGCGGAGCCATTATCCCCATCTTTTCACCAACTCAGGTACTTTTCTATGTCCGTTCGAGAACGAATGGTTATTTTAGAGGTGGAGAATGTGATGACCCTAAAGGTCATCTCTTGTTTCAGAAGTCAAAACTATGTTTCGAGGCCTTAAAAACCTTTTTTAGTCTCACCTCGATTTGCGTGCGCAGTCCGGACACGTTTTTGGAAAGCTTTTATGTGAAATTTTAGAAAATAATAAATTTGGCCCTTAAAATTGATTAAAGTTGACTTTAGTCAACATTCTTGGTAAACAGACCCGGACCCGGGATCCGGCGGTCCCCTAGGGTCCATAGTAAAATATGGGACTTAGGTGTATGTCCGGAATCGAATTCCGAGGTCCCAAGCCTGAGGAAAGAATTTTTAAAGAAAATTGTTTGCTGGAAAATATAAAAGCTTTTAGAAATGAAATGATGCATTTTCTTGATAGTATTGGGCCCATATATTGTTTTCGGAGCCCGATACAAGTTTAAAATAATAATTAAGTTGAATCTGTAGAATTTGGTAAAAATCGGAATTGGTTTGGAATAAATCGGACATATAGTTGAGAAAATAGAATTTTCAGTGTTCTTGGGTAATTTCATAAATTTGAGGTTTGATTCGTAGTTGTTGATGTTATTTTGATAATTTGATCGCATGAGCAAGTTCATATGATGTTTTTAGACTTGCGTGCATGTTTGATTTGGAGCCTCGAGGGCTCGGATGAGTTTTGAATAGGCCACAGAGTGAATTTAGACTTAGAAAAATAGCTGTTGCAGGCTCTGATCTCGCAATTGTGAGCCCAACAGGCTTGGCAATTGCGAGGGGCTGATCGCAATTGCGAAAAAATGCCCTGGCCATCCTTGCTCGCATTTCTTCACAAATGCGAAGTTCTCAGAAATTCCCAGCAGTCGCAAATGCGAAAGTAGCAGAAATTCTCAGGGTTTGCAATTGCGAACCCCTGGTCGCAACTGCGACATCTGCACTAGACAAGTGGGATTTTTGACGGGATTTCATTCAATTTTCAAACTCTTTCAAACCCTAAACTCTCTTGGGCGATTTTCCAAAGAAAGAATTTTATCCAAATCATTAGTAAGTAATTTCTAACTTATTTTCTTCAATCTATAACATCTTTTTACATGATTTCATTCCAAAATCAAGAGTTTTTCATGGGAAATTGTGTGTTTTTGGGTAGAAGTTAGGATTTTTAAATTTTGGGGATTTGGACCTCGATTTGAGGTTCGATTTCAAAACTAGTTGCATATTTGAGTTTGTGGGTCAATGGGTAGCCAGTTTTGGTTCGAACTTCGAGTTTTGACCAAGCGGGCCCGAGGGCGATTTTTGACCTTTTGGGGAAAACATTTGAGAATTCATATTCATGCATTAGAATTGGTTTATTTAGCATTTATTGATGTTATTGAATTAATTATGACTAGATACGAGTGAATTAGTGGTGGAATCGAGAGGTAAAGCGGTGGTTGAGTGTTGAATTACCCGTTGGCTTGAGGTAATTGTCTAACCTTGACTTGAGGGAATAAGAATCCCCGGCTTATTTGCTATGTGAAATTTCATATGTGTGGCGTATAGGTGTGGTGACGAGTACCTATGCGCCACCAAAATTATCATGTTTAGCTGTTTCCCTTCCCCGTTTCCTATTATATCATTCCTTGTCTTAATTGCTACCTACTTAACTGTTCTATGCTTTAATTGTTATTTGCCATAAATGTCTCCATGACTAATTGCTTTATATTAACTGTTGTCCTCGTACTTGGAGTGTTTAATTGTTTCATGGTTCCGCTTAGTTATATTGTTAGCTTGTGTTGAGTTGTTGGTGCCTTATGGTGAACTTGGTTGGTCTTGTTGTTTAGCCCACATGGGTGAAGTTCGTAATCGTAGTGATAACCCATTATACGAGTTGAATTGTAGAAATGTGAAAATTGAGTTAACTTGTGAAATTCTTAGTATTTCTCTTTGTGATTGGTCTTGATATGTACATATGTTGGGATCGGGTTGCACGCCGCAACAGAAGGAATAAGGGAGGAAAGTGATTGTCTGGTGGGATCGGGTTGCACGCCACAACAAGGAGTAATAAGAAAGGACAGTTGGGATCGGGTTGCGCGCCGCAACAAGGAGGAATAAAGGAGAGTGTTGGTATTATTATTGTTGAATATTGATACTGTTATTGTTGGATTTTTTATACTGATGTTGTTTATATGGTGGGATCGGGATACGCGCCGTATCAGTTATGTTTCTAGGCATGTATTTCTGTTGAAAGTCTATTAATGAGATATTGAAAAGCTCCTAAGGATTGGTTATAGCTGAAAAGTAGTAGTGGTACAGTTGGATTCCGGATTTATTTACTGTTAGTTTTTATTTATGTACATTCTGTATTTCCTTTTCGTTTAGTGTAAACAGTTGCAGGTCATATATGTTGTATGCCCGCCGTAGCCTAGTCACTACTTTATCGAGGTTAGGCTCGGCACTTACCAGTACATTGGGTCGGTTGTACTGATACTACACTTTGCACTTTCTGTACAGATTTCGGAGCTAGTGGCTGATCAGAGTTCGAGAGTGCTACATTCAGTTCAGGAGACCCAAGGTAGTCTTGCAGGCGTCCGCAGGTCTTAGCTTCCTCTTCTATCTTTACTGTATTCTGTTTTTATTTTTCCTTCGAAACAAATGTATATTTTTCTTTCAGACCATTATTTGTAGTAATCATAGACAGTTCGTGAATTGTAACTCCAGTTCTAGGTAGATGTTATTTCGGATTTTGTTAATGTTTAAGTTAAGCTTTTAAATTGTTTCTTCCGCATTTATTTCTGTTAATTCATCTTGCTAAGTCACTTATATCTTAAAGATAAAGGAAAAAGGTGTAATAAACTGTGACATTGGCTTGCCTAGCGAGTTCAATGTTAGGCGCCATCACGGGCCCGAAGGTGAAAAATTTGGATCGTGACACAATATCACACACACAAGAGTTATGCTCTTTAGGGGAGTGACGGGTTGAGACGCGGACTTTATATGGTAATGTATAGAAAATAAAGTATAAATAAAACTAGATATACGTACATAAACTCAATTCTAAAAGTGCTTACTGGTGTCCTAATTACAGTTATTACTGAAAAGGGTCATTTATGCCAGTGAACTATGCGAATTAGGACAGATATGCCCGTCGTTAATTGTTTGACACAGATATGCCCAATCCGTCCAATACTTGTTCATTTATGCTCTTAGTTTAACAGAACCACTCTTCTTAAATAATTAATAACCGGACCCAACCAAAATTTGTTGTCCCGATCCATTAGTACCCCGCACATCCTTATTTCAAAGATATTTTTTGATATATTATTTTTGTTTGATTGAGAGATTGTATGATAATCATATTTATTTATTTGAGTATTTGATAATCGATTTTTTTTGTTATACATTATTTCGGGAAGTAATCGTACTAAAAGTAGTAATATGATTGAAGAAAGCACAAACTAATTCGAATATTATATTATTAAAATAATAAATAAATATCGATTACTACTTTTACTAGGATTACTTTCTGAAATGATGTACTTGCTCAAATAAAAAAATATGATTATCACACAATTTCTCAATCAATCAAAAATAATATCTTTGAAATGAGGATAGGTCGGATCCTAACGGATCGGGTCAGCAGATTTTGGTTGGTTCCGATTATTAATTATATAAGAAAGACAAAATAGTGGTTCCGTTAAACTATGGGTATGAATGAGCAAGCATTGGATGGATTGGGTATATTTGTACCAAACTATTAAGGACGTTGATATTTGTCCTAATTTGCATCACTTACGTGACCCTTTTCCGTAATTATAAAGATACATATCTAGAGAGAGTAAATACAGTAAGAAAAAAAGAGTTAAAGAGGAGATGGCAGCGGTACTGAAGCCAAACAGAGCTCGTAAACATTTTACTTAAAAAAAAGGGGAGTGGCAGAGTGTGTCTGGAAGTAAAGTTGGGATTGGGGATCAAAAAATTGGGTGTGGTCAGTAGTGTCGTACCGAGAGGACAAGATCTGGGGATTGGGCAATGAAATGAGAATAGGGAAAGCAGCAGCTGGTTCTAAGAGTAGCACCACCACCAAATTGGTCTTTATTTGCGTGGCGCTGTTGGGGGGATTTCTTCTTGTAGATCTGCTCTGGGCTTCCTCTTCTTCTTCCTCTTCCTCCTTCAACTGGCCTCTCCCAACATCCAATGTCCTTGTCTTTCCTAATCAGACTCTCCCCAAGGTAAATCAACTGCGCATTCTTCACAGTTTCGTTTTCCCTTCAACTATCCTCTCAATTTTAATTATTATTAGGCGAAGAAAGACGGAGATGCCGGTCCCCAGAGGATATTATCAGCTACTTTTGCGGATTTGCCAGCCCCGCAATTGAAGTGGGAGAAGATGGCCACATCCCCTGTGCCTCGCCTTGATGGTGCTGCTCTCCAGATCAACGACCTTCTTTACGTCTTTGCTGGTTATGGAACCATTGATCATGTCCGCACATCACCCTAATAATTTTCCTTTGGCCGTCATTTTCTTTTTTATTACGCGAACTGCCGGATTTTCTCACCTTCTGTCTGTAATGAAATTAAATTGATTTCCCCCCCCCNCAGGGGTCCTACTGCTCGCAATTTTGTTCTCGACACTGAGACGAAGCAATGGCAGGACTTGCCTCCTTTGCCAGTCCCAAGGTACTGAATTTATCGCCAGGCTTGCAGAAATGGCTCTTTCACACTTATGCTTTCTCTTTGCTTTCTGAATTTGAGTTTGATGTAAAATTCTATAAGCTTATTAATTAGGTTACTGTACTGTGTTTGAGTTTTATGTAAAACCATATAAGCTTATTAATGAGTCTGATTCTCAGGTATGCGCCTGCAACACAGCTTTGGAGAGGCAGGCTTCATGTAATGGGTGGGAGCAAAGAGAACAGACATACCCCAGGATTAGAGCATTGGAGTATTGCTGTTAAGAATGGAAAAGCTTTAGAAACAGAGTGGCGGACTGAGATACCCATTCCTCGTGGTGGACCTCACAGGTTTTCGACTGATTTCATGCAGATATTATTATAAGCATAATATAATATATGTGGCAGATTGCATAAGGCACTCTCAGAAGGAAAAGTCCGGAAAGGGAAATCTTGATGGGCAGTGTGAAGGGTTCATCTTAGAAGGAATGAATGAACACCTGATAGCAGCAATAATACTTTGCACAATCTAATTTAAGTTCAGTATAGAGCTGTTAGTGAATAGTAACTAGGGTCTAGGAGCTTTAAATTCAAAATAACAAAGATGAGAAATGAGTTTTTCCTACTAATCTTTCTAAGGTGATGAGAACTTTGGCAGTTTAGTGATTTGAAATTCACAAGAGTGCACAGTTATTTGGGGATAACATGGGATAAGGAGGGAAGTTGCATGCCCCGTTTTCTTTTCTATTCAGGGAGATGTTATGTCCATTTTGATGTTATAGTTTGTGGTGTTGTTTTTGTTCTCAAGCTTGTCCTTTCAGTTTCAACTGCATGATGCTTTCATTGTTCTTTTGGGTTTGAATTTGTATAAAGCGATTGTGGTACTGTGGAGAACTCTTTCGTGTATTCTAGCCTGGTTTTTTGGTGCTTGCGAGATACCCCTTTTGGTGTGCTTTGAACAGGAATAGATGTCTGCATATCGTTAAGGCAGAGGATGGGAAGAGAGAAAAAGAGGAGGAGAATATCTGTGCTGGTGATTCAATTAGTATTTTTTTCCTAGAATATACTCTTGTGGATGAGTGAACTGATTAACAAATTTGATAAATCACTATGCCCCAAGTCTTGGTTGCTGGACTCAAACCTTTTTCAACTAAACAGTTGGTATTTCTAAAGCTTTAGGTTTCAATTAGCAAGAGAATAATCAAATGCAAGTGACATATGTGGAATGTATATCCAAATTTGCTTTGTGTGATGTATTCAGAAGTTAGCCAGACATGTATGTTTATGTTAACCTGATAAGTTTTTAGGAGTGCATAATTGAATAAATTTTCTGCTTCTTGCTTGAACTTTCATGCAGGGCCTGTGTTGTGTTTGATGATCGACTTTATGTCTTTGGTGGTCAAGAGGGTGATTTTATGGCTAAACCTGGATCACCTATTTTCAAATGCTCGCGTAGAAACGAGGTAATCGGACTGTGACTTGGCTTCTGTAAGTCGTATATTTTTTTGATAAGATAAGGAAATTTCATTAATAAAGTACCAGTGAGGTAATACAAAAATACGAACAGGGGATTACAGCATTGCTGTTCCAGTTACATTCCCAGAAGTTCCTGAAAATTAAAATATTGAGACCAGTTTTCTATCATGTTACTCCTAAAACAAAAGTATAAATTCTGTTGGCGTCTCTTTTTTTTAAAAGGGAAATATGGTTTTTATTGCCCTTCAAAGCATCTCTTGTTCCTCTCCAACCAATGTGTAAGTCGTCTATTGGTTTAAAAAATTTTAAAAGTTATGTTCCAGTTAAGCTTTGGGCATTAATGACTTTTTATGGGATTTTATTTTGCTTTGCATGAAAAAATTTGGCCAGATTAAGACATGTTTTTTTCTCACTTTGGGTGTAGACAGCTAGTCATTGTCCCAAAGGATCTTCCTGTTAGCTGAAATTTGCCAAATGGAAGGTCATATTTCCCTTTGTGGCATATTATTATTTAAAGAAAGAAGAGGTTCTTGACTAGTTGATTCTTTGGCTAAACCAGCAACAATTGAAGGATATTAGTGACATCAAGTTTATATGATCATTCTCATCTTTGTTCTCTACTATCCAGATCCTTTGCAAATTGAATAACAATATAGCTAAAAGATGAAAACTGGAAGAAGGGTGGGGGGTTGATAAAAGCAGATCAAGTCTCACACTCCCAAAAATACTGAGAATTGGAGCTGATGTAGGGGTTGAGAGTGTGTTTACTCTAATGTCGTTTTGGCTAAATCTAACAACGGAGCTTGGCTTTTACAGGTTGTATATGATGATGTTTACATGTTAGATGATGACATGAAATGGAAAGTGTTGCCTCCCATGCCAAAGCCAGATTCCCATATAGAGTTTGCTTGGGCTATTGTCAACAGATCTCTTGTAATTGTTGGAGGAACTACTGAGAAGCACCCAAATACCAAAAAGATGACCCTTGTTGGAGAAATATTCCAGTTTCAGTTTGATACACAGGTATTGTTTCTTGTCTTCGACAAATTGCAAAAAAGGTGTATTTGGTTTATCTTAGAATTTAATGATTCCTTATAACCTGTCACTTTAATCAGCTTCATTTAGCTTAGCAGATACGTCGATCTGCATGATGCACTTAGACGTATCCATTCATTTCAATTTATGTTCACTCTGCACAAAAGGTACACAAAGGATCTAGAGTGTCTTATTAGGATCTTATTGATACCCTCCCCTCTTTCCTCGCCCAACAGTCTCCTATAGGTCTGTTAGAGGGAAACTGTTCAAAAACATGGTGTAGCAGTTACAAGTTATCCTTTAGCCGACTCATAACTCATCAAAGATATGCCTGAATATGGCTATTATCTATTTCAATTCCACATTTCTCTATCACATAGATTCCACGGGGACAGAACAAATACAATGCAAATTTAGATCTCAACAATTCCTTTAATTTGGTCCTCAAATTTGACATTGCAAGGTTAAAATTGGCTATGCAAGTGAAGATTCTTATTTGTTTTTTTACAAGTACATGAACTTCTTTCTCCTTTTATCAATAATTTGAACTGTCTACGTGTTGGTGATGTGTCAAATACTCTGCCCTGGCATCTTAGCTTCACATCTTTACCTTATGATCATCACACTCAGTAAATCTCTTTGGTCACCTTGGTCATGCAGTTACCTTGCCTTGCTCCTACGTGTAGAAATCAGGTATCACCACAATAGAATGCATGCTTTTCACAACAATGATTGATGTTAGACAATTGATATTTTAACTCTCCACTTTACAATTGTGTCAAGTCAAAAGTGAAAAGGTAAATTAGGATGAATGGAATTAACGTGATGTGATTCTAGAAAACAACCTGTTTCTTATGTGCTGCTTTTTGTATTCTTGGTTTTTACCTGCTGGTTTTGATCCAAAGCAGAAATGGAAGGTTATTGGCAAACTTCCTTACCGTGTAAAGACAACTCTTGTTGGCTTCTGGAATGGATGGTTGTACTTCACATCAGGACAAAGAGACAAAGGACCGGATGATCCAGCGCCAAGGAAGGTCATTGGAGAGATGTGGAGAACTAAATTAAAGTTGTTATGAGCTCATATTTTTACCTAACCTTCTGCCCTCATAGAGAAATGTTATAGTGTAAATTAATGCGAGTGCTTTTGTTACTTTCTCTTTTTTATTTGTTTCCATGCGATTTATTTTGGTCCAACCTCATTTAGCCATGGGTGGAAACCAATTACACAGTGGAGAGTGGGCAGTGTTATATTCTTTTAGCTTCAATTTGTTTTTTTTCTTTCTGGAAATGGATACGTGTTAAAAAAAAAAAATCTCCTCTCCTCTGGTCTGGTGGTTCTACCACACGCCGTCATAACCTTGAGTTTCATTTTTTTTGGTGGGTGCTTGAAAGTGACAAGAAAGAAGGTTGTTTGTCAGTCTTTTCTGTAGAAGAGAAATCCTTTCAAATATCATCTCAATCCCAGTGCTTGCTATAGGTGGAGACGCCATTTTTTTTACTTTATATAGAATGTTCATCATCTGAAATGAAGTAGCCAATCTGACCAAACTTAAACCTTTGGTCTAGCGTAACAATTTCTTTCCCAAAGCTACATACCTTTTGGGCTCTCTCTCTCTCCGCAAGTAATTCTGACCAACACTTTGCAAGAACTATTCATTGGCCATGTTGGGGCCAGACCATACTTCAAAATTAGCCAATTGGCAATACATTCTTTCTTCTAAGTACAATTATGTGCATAGATCAAGACATGACTTTCATAACTAAAGTGCGCAATTTTACATTTTACTGGTTTCCAAGTCGGCAGTTCAATACGGTTCCAGGTACATGAATCATGAAGATACCTAATTTGCAAATAAAAGAGTGTATTGGCTTAATCTATACCAAAATATTTCAGATGCTTGGGAACCTCCATCTGCAATGAAACCATAGAATTAGGTGGACGGGTTACGTTTTCTGATAAATAAAATAAATAAAAACCTCACCCGCAAACACCCATAACCTTTGTAAGTTTTACAAGTTCATGCTTCCCCAGGAAAATTTAATGATCTCACAGTCTTGCAACACAACTATTCTAGCACACATGGCCATTTCACCTAGTTTTCTAACATCCTTGAGTTACAAACGCATTCCGTAATGGTAATTTCATTTCTCCATATTGTACAATCGACCTCCATTTACCAGTTTCCACAGTGCTGCTTTTGCTTCTTCTAGTGTTTCAACGGACTGACCTCCTTCAAAAGATATTCTCTGAATGTTTAACTGCAGGAAATTTTTAGTGAAAACACTTGGTTACAAGGGTAGAGGGCAAGGCAAAAGCCAATAACATAAACAAGTAGTACAGAGAAAGTACCTGTGCACCCTGGCGGACACGGATATCAGTTCCCTTGCTATCTACTGATATTATGGCAGCATCATCCACCTCAGCTTCTCGTGACAAAAGATCCTTTAGAGGCTTTGAAAAAATTGCATTTAGCTCCTATAAGAAAAAACAACTTGTTTTCAGACTTGCTCCGAAAAAAGGAAGGAGAAAGAGGAACTTATGAGCTGCTACTTCCACAAATACCTTCATACATATAGCTGCATAAAAACATTAATCTAGTAGCCTAAATGCCACCGATTTCTCGAAATGCCAAAAGCACACCTTAAGATTTTGTTCACCTCCATCAATAGCAATCTTGTCAGGCTGCAAAGTTTCATAATCCTTGACATCCACCCAAGCAACTGTTCCAAAGCCTCCAATGAAATATATATCACTGTTGTAGGTGACAAGGCAGGTTAGTGGTATTAGCTAGAGAATTACTAATCATCTTAGCAACAACACGAATCTTGATTTTCAAAAATACATTGACTAAAGGAACGTGAAACATGTGGATTGAATCTTCCTATTGATGTACTATGCTTTGCAACAAAATAATTGGCTGAGGAAAACAAAATGATGGGGCCAATATAGAAGCTCGCAGGGGGTAGCCTAAACCAACATCCACAACAAAATAAGTGATGTCGTGCGATAATTCCATGTATTTTGACGTTATTTGCCCTACTTGCTTGTTTTTTCGATGCTAATTTGTGTGACAATTGTGCTTAATAGAGCTTATTTCACGTGTTGGAATGCTTGGACATGAATTGAAGAAAAGTTGCACGAAATGGTACCTCAGAGCTACAAAATGGAGCAATAAAAGAAGACGTGCAAGACAATGAAAAGTCATGGCCATAGACAGTGCAAGGCATTGTCCAGGGCACTGTCATTGGCACCCCAAACAGTGCCTCCCGCAGAAACATTGGCGCCATAGATATTGCCTCGCGCAGAAATATTGGTGCCCCAGACAGTGCCTCGTGCCGACGATGCTTTCCGAGCCAATTTTATTTCCTCCTTAGTTTTGGACGTGGACACGTTAACCCTAACTTATAAATACCTCTTAAAGTTGTTTTTTAGAAGGGGAGGACACTATTGGAGAGTCAAGAAGGCTACGGGAACACTTGGAAGCAACAAACCACAAGAGTTTTCTCTTCCGTTCTTCCTTCATCTGTATTTTAATGCTTTCAATTATTATCATGATTGTTAGTATGGTTATGAGTAGCTAAACTTTCTTATCTAGGGTTTGATGGAACCTATTGGACGATAATTCTTCTTACGTTTTAATATAATTTTGCCTTTGAATATCTCTACTTGTTCAACTACGTGTATATTGTTGTTGACTGAATGACTATCATTTAACTGTGCCTATTTATTATGTATTGCTTGAGAAAGAATGCATATTTAGGTTTTTGTCAAACAACGTCACTCTCAAGGTATATGAGAGATCAATACGGCGGGTTTAAAAGTGGAATTAGAGATAACGAAGTTTTGACGTGATCATAGTGCGCGGTGAAAAAGTGCGAGCTAGCGTAGTTCGAGAGAATATGTCTAGTAAATTGTGGTAGTTGCTCGAGAGAGAATTACGATACCTGAAAAGCTCATGACTAGTGGGGGATACTTAGGCGATATTATAGAAGACGTAGTCGGAAGGATTCCGACAATTGGAGAAATCATAACTCTAGGTCTCCTTAATCTTGTTCCCAAAACCTTAGTATCTTTAGTTGTTAATTTACTATTTTAATTTGCTAGTTAATTAGTAAGAAAACAGAATCTTAATATTTATAAATTAGGAATTGTTCGAGCTTGCACTCTTAGTGATACTTAACAGTTACAGTAAAACCTTAGTTCTCTGTGGGATTCGACTCCGGACTCTTAGACCGGATTATATTTGCAGCGACCACTTATCCTTTTTAAGACTAGAGTTGGGCGTGATCAATAAGACAAGCCCTTAGAAGATCTTGTACACAGCCAAATAGTTAATAGTTCAGAGATCAATTGTATTGAAATTTGGCATATGCATACAAATTGAGGCATATAGAGTGCAAAAAGAACGGGTACGACTAAAAGTAACTTTTACATGGATGTTCTAAAGGAAATAGTTACCAGTAAAGTTGCTTAAGGCACGCAGATTATGACTATGTATACAAGAACAGTAAAAACACACTAAACGTGTAGCAACACATAATTATCTGATTTGAGATGCAAGAGACTCAACTGTTGGCAAGTGGGTAATGCCAACAGACAGAAAGATTCCTACTTTTCCCTAGCATTTTAGAATAAGCAACATCTCTATACTTGTACTATTTCTCAACATCAACATAATTCAAAACCACTTGGGTCAAAACTAGGTTTGCTAATGAGGAAATATTTGGCAGCAAAAGAACTCATTATAAGCGGTTACAGACAGTAAAGGATTTTCATGTAATAGAGCTGATATCATCCAAATTAAGCAGTACCCCTATACAAATAAAGACTTATATGAGACACCAAAAAGGTTGCATAAGAATGGAGGCTTACAAGTTACAACTAAGTATGAAAACTCTGAGTTCACAGAAACCTTTTTCTTTTCTTTTCTTTTTGTAGGTATTAGAAGGGCTGAAGATATCACACAATCCATTTTCTAATGAAGAATTTCCCCATATTGCCAGAATATGCAACTGGCAACTCAAGTCTCTCTAGGAGAAAATGCATTCAACAGTAGAACCAAAAGATAAAGATGCTATACGAGGAAAAAGCTACTCAGAGGAAAAAAGTGATAACCTTATATTTTGCATGCGAAAGTAATAAAAGTTTCCCCATTGTTGAGAAGCTCCTTGCTGATGTTTTGATATATACTGCTTATGTGCCCATTCCTGTGGAAACAACCGATATTGTTTTCGAAGATCACTCTAACATTTACAAATCGGAGATATTATTACCGAAAGTCAGAAGAAAGAACAAAATACAAAAAGGCATGTGCAGCTCTGAGCCTCTGATATTAAACACTAAAATTAGAGAAACCAACATGCCACTGAAATCTGAATGCAGGATCAAACAACAGAGAACACAATTAGTCCAAGTCAAGCACGATAAACCAACAGGGACAACAACTATTCCCTAGTCAAAAGGGAAACTGACGGAAATACATTGAGGCATAATGAAAGAAATTTTATGCTTCATCTGGATGTGCACCTCTCCCTCCCTCCCTCTCTCTCTTTCTCTCGACCCGATGCTTTTCTTCTTATTTTATGATTAATACAGATTGTAAAGGAGATATACACAAGATAGTTAGGAGAAAGTCCAAATGTCTCCAGGGTCACGAGTCTATAAGCAACAGTAACAATTTCAGGACGTCAAAAGAAAGCCTTTATCTAACAAATTCCTGGTGCAGTAAGAACCAGTTTATTCGACAATAGTTTATGAATAAATCACTAAAATTTGAAGAAGGCAGCTACCTGCTGATCTTCTGGGAGAGGATAGACATCACCGAATATTGTTACCCTTGCATTAGATAAACAACTCCAACCCGGGATCTAAAAAGCAAAAGTTGAAGAAACTCAAAGGCAGAAGATTTCAGTCAAACATAAAGAATGATTGTGGAAATACAAGACTAACCTGTACAACCAGTGTGCATCTAGGGTCAGCTAGCAGGTTCCTTGTGTGTATAGCTAACGGTGAGAATGAAAATATTGGGTCTGAAAGTAGGACAGATCCATGTTGGAGCATTATTGGAAGATGGATTTGATGGAGATAACCTTGAACAAGTATTTCACACCAAGATTTTGCTTTTCTTTTTTTATTATTATTCTTTTTGTATTCCATGTTCAGCTTTTAAACAATGTCAGGAACATTAAACTAGCTGGATTATTTAATTTACTTTGAAATTTACCCGAATTTTATTAGGCGTGCTTTTTCAGGCAAAGTCTTGTC